TCATATAAATCTTGTTGTATAAAGCACTATCAGGAATCTTCATATAAATCGATGATCTTCATCGGCAAAGCTTTATAAATGTTGCTTATGCGAATTCCTCCATCGTAGTCAATGCTAATGAAGCTCTGAACAATGTTGTGAATGAAGAGCAAAGAGAGAGGAGTTGTTTGGTGCAAGAAAAGAAAGGAGAGAGAATGAGAGAATGTGTTATATATATGAGTGTGAGTGAGGGATCTTAGACTACAAAAAAAAAAATTATTGTGAACCTCTCCCATTACTAAAAGTTAGAGAGGGAAAAATATCTATGAATATCAAAAATAAAAAAATAAATGTTTTTTTTTTAATATTTGGTGTAATTTTATTTTTTTAATGAGATTTATACTTTTAAATGTATCTAAATTTTATACTTTTAAATGTATCTAGATTAATACTTTTACCCCTATTTTACCAAATAAAAAAAGAACAATTTTTTTTCAATAAAATAAAAATGAAACAAATAAATTTTTAACTTTAGTAACCTAAAAAAAATAAAAATAAAAATCATTAACTACAAAAAAAAAAAAGAAAAAAAAAAAGAAAATTTATTTATTCTTTTTCCCGCGCATGAATTCCCCCCCACTCCCCCTTTGTCACCATCTCAAATCCCCAATACCTAACCTAACACTCCCTCTCACTCTCCTCTCTCTTTTATCTCTTCCGCCTCTTACGTCGTCGCCTCTGGTACCGCCACCGGCGACCACCGCCGCCGCCGCCACACCTCCTCCCTCACCGCCCTCTCTCTCTTCTCCTATTCTCTTCACCGGTCGTCTACTTCGTCTTCTCCACTCTCGTCGTCGGATCCAAAACCCTAACCCTACCTTCGATCTTCTCCAATCCCTCCACAAGCCATATGTTCAAATCCAGACCCTACACTCCCCTCAACTGTTTTAGAACCTTTGTCTACAAAGGACTATCGTCGGACTCATCAGAACGGCGATCTCAAACGGGCTGATTGTGATGAGAAAGACCAGGTGGCGAGGCGCATTAACGCGTCAGAAACGAAATCAGAAGATGGACAGTTCATCTTTGCCCTAAATTTTCTCTCAATTTCTGCTCAAATGTAAGTATGATATAGTCGTCCTCAATGTGGGTTTCTTGGGTTACTGGTACTAGTCTTAACTGTGCACTTTATGTGTTTGCCTTAAATGTATTATAATATATATTTAGCAAGAAATGCCTGCTTAAAATTAATTATCCAATGCATTGCATGAGTCCAACACTAGTTTTTAAGACTCTGCAAATTGTTTTGTTGATAAAATCTTTTGGCGTGTTCCATAGATTTGTGATCAAATTAGGGGAAAAAGAACATCTTTACACGTTTGTTTTGCATTTCTTAGTGGACCACCAAGTGCAGCAGCACAATAATATTTGAGAATAGTCGAAGATACTATAACCTCTCCATACGTAGCAGCATAATAATTTTCAGCATAGTACAATGAATTTGAGAAGCATATACTACAGGCCACATTATCTGCCGACCTACCTTCCTAAAAAAAAATTGTTCATTTTAATTGTTGTTAAAATTATTATAATTTTATTTGGTAAGGTGATTGTTTTGTTGGAAACAACATGCCTATGAGGTCTGCTCACATGGAACCCAACTTGCATTTTTCTCCAGTTTTTGAGGCCTACGGGATTTCATACTAATTATGTGATACAAAGAATGCTCCAAGCTTTTGCAATATGAATACGAAAAGAAAAAAAAAAGTCCTTTGCATGGAATTTAAAAACTATAGAAAAGTAATAAATAATAATAATCATAGAAAACACAAACAGAGAAAAAAAAAACTTGGGTTTTGGTTAAAGGCAAGAGAGGCTTTTGGAACATATTATCGAATTTAACTTGAATTGAATTGGATGCACATGGCTGATATTAGATAATGATATCCCTAACATTTCCAGCCCAGTAATTACGAGGCCCCCTTTTCGCTCCTCCTCTATTCCTTTTGTAATTTTCATTATCTATATAATTTTGAGTTCAAAATGGAACAATTTGTTAACATCATTTGGTCGTAATCGTTCCCATCTGCTAGCCATTTAGATATTAATTTCAATTTCTTCAAGTACTTGTAGTTGTCAATATATATGCATGACACATAAACCTCAAACAATTGAAAGTTATATGCTTTACATTCACCCGCAAATTCATAGTTAACTGACAAACTGATTGAAACTTCTCTGTGAATTAACTGTTGTACAGTGGCAGTTATGAGGGCAATATGGTAGTACTGAAGCAGGAGTCTCAATTTGCAAAGGCAAATGATTGTAGTTTCAGTTGAGTAATATATCTTTAATTACCAAACTAAAACTAAATATTGTTATTGCCAATGTGATTCAAAAACTTAAAAGTGCTATATTTTTTACTTCAAATTTGTTTTATATGCAGTTTAGTCTGCAAATAGAACAACGAATTCCCGTTCTATCCAGGTGGCTGATCTTCAACCGATTCAAATTTACTGCATCATCTTCCTCATATTTTCTAAGTAATTACACATCACAAACAAGAAGAAACAAAATTTAGCATACATTCTACAAGAAACTATTTAACATTGATTTTTTTTAGTTCCAGCATGATTATGCAGCATGTTCGTACAATTAATAAAAAACACTCTTTAGAATTCTTTTGACAAGGTGAGCAAAGGATTATGCCATGAGAAACACAACTAAAGTGGAAGATATTGTTATTCTCAAAATAGGATTCAATATCAAACTAAACAGTTTTCTTTTGCAATAGATAAATTTGCTAAAAAGAGAAAGCACAAGTTAACTGCTGGGGTATGCTTTTGAAGGGTGATTCCTGACCCTTTTTCGAACTTCACAAAGCCCGTTATGAAACATAGTGCTTTACTTGCATTTCCAATATGTTTCCTGTAATTAGTAAATGATCTGAAAAGTGTTTTTTTTTTTGGGTGCAAAATTTATATCTTTTTCTTTGACAGCTTGACAGGTGGCTTAATGATGAAGCAAACAAAATCTCAACCTTTCCCTTCTATTTACTTTACTGTTTTGGGTGATCTAAGAAGCACAAATACATCTAAAAAAGTGCTGTGCCTGTGTTGAATACATGTTGGACACGTGTCCAAACATGTTATATTATTATTATTATTTAAATTTTTTTAGATACAGATAGTTGGACACGCTTTCGACACTTGGGGAACACGCTCATCCATCACTATGAAACACCTTACAAGTTTGATGAAAGTAACTTGGGATTTAATGATAAAGAAAAACAACAGAGATTTATACATATTAATCCTTACTCCTTTAGATTTTAAGAAGTGATGTTAAATCTCTGAATGAAATATTCATATATAACATATGATAAATATATAAAACTATATATTTTTTGGGCTTGCCCGTGTATGATAAAATTCCATTGATAGGATGCACTGAACTGCATGCTCAACAATGTGTGCCACTGAAGGCTTAGGGTCATTTTCCCTATCATTGCACAGATGAATTTTGTTAGAAGCAAGGGAAACATAGTTGTGTCTGCGTGTATGTCTGTCTAAATCATTCTTGTATGTGTATTTCCTAAGAAGCACGGACACTTCTAAGAAGGTGACGTATCTGTGTCGTGTCCGTGTCGGACATCGACACTCTTTGGACACTCTTAGGACATGTGTCCGATACTCTTCAAAACGTGTCCTATTTTTTAAATATTTTTAAAGACTCGGACACTCTTTTGACACTTGGAGGACACACGTGTCAATTGTTTAAACACATGTGTCTATTGATTATAGATATGTAAAACTAATTATAAGTTTGAACAAAACAACTTAAGATACAATAATAAAACAAAAACCTTATAAATTTATAGGAAATAGTGCTATATTGCATTTTTTATTATCTTTGAATGATATATTCATATATATAACATATAATAAATATATAAAATTATATATTTCATGCGTGTCCTGCATTTTTTTAAAATTAACGTGTCGGCGTGTCCGTGTCGTATTCGTGTCGTGTCACGTGTCCGTGTCCATGCTTCTTAGTGTATTTCTTCTGTTGTCAAATTTTATTTCATTAATGCATTGATGTTCTTGATGTTGACGGCATGCAAAGCTTCTTTCAAGTTTACATTTTTGTTGGTTATCATCTGGAATCAAAAGAAGTTCTTAGAGTTATGTAGGTCAAAATCTGAGCTACATTTTTTTTTTTGTATGTCTCTTCCGAATTTTCTCCAACCTAGAAGGTTAAGTTTTTCATATTCGATCGGAATTTTAGGTGAAGTAGCTGTGTATCAGTTAGTTATCATGAGCATACCACTAACTTTTGGTGTACCATTCTGGATTTATAATTTATAAACATTAATTTGTCAATTGTTGTGGATTTATATATAGGAGTCTTTAATACAATTTAAAAAAAAAAACAATAGTTAAACATTTTATCAATTTATTCAATATATTCTTTAAGAAAATTAAAAAAAAAATCAATGTTAAATAGTTTCTTTTAAAATATATGCTAAATTTCGTTTCTTCTTGTTTGTGATGTGTAATTTTAAATTTTTGAATGAGGCAAGTTGAAGTAAATGTATGTGGATGCATGTGGCTGTTATTACCAAAAATATAATTAGAAAATAGTTAGGAACACTTTTATAAAATTTCACATCACTCATACATAGCAAATTGGTGAGGTTCTTCAAAATCTTGACTATATATGCATTTGTGTGGGGTTTGATGAACTGATATATATATATAGATTTGTGTGTATTTTATGGATGTATTTTATGCATTTATATATATATAGGACTAAGATGATGTTGAATGCATGCTAACATTTCAATTATTTTTCTTTATTCAGGTCCTATATTAAATTGGGCCTGAACATTTAGTTGGACCTTTTTACTGATTGTAAATTTCCATTTTCCCCTGTCGTTTTCATCTAGGTTTGGGATGAGTTTTATCAGATTTTGAAACTATTTCTTAGTTTTGTTTTTCTCTTTTTCCTTCCAACTTACTACATGCCAAGAAGGGTATAATTTATTTTCCGAGCAGCAAAATATCCTCATTGCAACCAATGGTCGTACCAGGTCATTATCAATTGCTGTAATTTGACTATGAAAAATTATAGATATGATGCCAATAATATGATTTGTGGTACCCTGTAATATTCCAATCAACAATAATGTTATACTTAAGCACTTCGATTATTCAATATGTGGCATTCCATCAGAGTTTTTTTTGAAGATTGAGAGTTTTGATTGCGAAGATGAAGAGGGCTAGAGATGATATGTACATGGCTTCTCAACTCAAACGCCCCATCGTCTCCTCTCGCGCCGAACCGTGAGTCCTTTCTCTATCTCTCTCTTAGTTTTTTTTTTTAACTCTCATTTTTCTAATATTGTGATATTGTAAGCTGTAATTATGAGTGCTTCTTTATTTAATAAAAAATTATAAGCAAGTAAAATTTCTGAAAATTTGGTGAATCATGTTTGAAATTGTTGAGTGTGAGTCTGTTAGTTATTTACTGATTAGGTATTTTGTTTGGCTTCGGATTTTAAACTTAAGTATTTTTGTTTTTCATTCTTTTACTTAGTATGTTGTTCCTTCAAGGAGAACAAAGATCTGATTTTTGTTGAATTTTTCTTTATAAAATCTGTCTGAAGTTTGATTATATATCTAGGGTTGAAGCTAAAAATAGGAATAAAGACCCATCTTTGTTGAAAGAATATATTTTGACCTAAGTTTAATGTTTAATGAAAGCTCTCACCTGATTAAATTAGTATATTGATTTTTTTTTTAATTTTTTTATTTGGCGTGGGTAATGAAGCTCTGGGCAATCCCAGATGATGGGTGGAGCGAGCACACAGAAACTAACTACCAATGATGCATTGGCATATCTCAAGGCAGTTAAGGACATATTTCAAGATAAAAGGGATAAATATGATGAGTTTCTTGAAGTTATGAAAGGGTTCAAGGCTCAAAGGTTTGGTCATTTATTCCTTCTTTTACTTCCAGAATCTAAATAAAGTTCTCATTTAAACAATGTTAATAAAGTTCATATATCCTCTTTCTCAAAACAAAAGTTCATTTAAACAATGCTGTAGTCCAAACTCCAATGACATGTTATAAATTCTTAAGCGCCATTTTATTATGGTCTTTATATAACATGTCACTATATTAGGCTTTGATAGGAGACCCGAGAAGAACAATCCAAGTTGATCTTTTGGAGTTCCAAAAATTTCTGAAGTGCAGTTGTTGCAGCAAAAGTGGCAATATTATCCGTTATAGTTTCACCCATGTGTTTTAAATTAAATGTTAGGTATTGAGATATTATTAAACATTTAATCAATGTAGTATATCATAACATTTAATCAATTAAAACTAAATGTTGTCTGCTATGATACCATGTGAAGTTATTTGGGACCAATTCATTTAAAGGCTTAATTGTTTTAGAGAGAGGTAATTTTATTTAGCCTTTCTGCACATCCCCCTTTATTTTTAGTGATTTGTTGTGCCTTTGGGTTGAATACCTGCGTTGTGTTGACAATATTACTCATTTATTTATCGAGATTTCTTGGGTGCGTGACATGATATGGATTCTTCTTTGTTTAGTCGCTAATGGGTTGAGATTAATTTTATGGGTTTTAGAGTCCTTTGCTGTAGTATCGTCGCTCTGATGATGCAGTGTCAATGTATCATTTGAAGAAGATGAACTGGTCACTTGGGGTTGTAAATTAAATTATAACTTGACAGAGCAGGATGGAAAAAACGAAATCGATTCACGTAGCCAATCCCAATTGATTGTAACATAAGGCTTAGTTTGGTTTGATTAGGTTTCTGGGTAGATGATTAATTTGTCTAAGCGAAGATAATTATTGCTCATGTTTATCTGCTTTACTCTTGACTTTTAGTCTAAAATTCTATACTTTTTTTTTAATCAATGTTAATTTTTTTTTTTTTTGGGGAGGGGGGGAATGGTGCCAAATCAAATGGTGGATTTTGCCAGGTGCATTAGGCTGTTGTACCTTGCTTTGCTTCAGAAAAAGCAAGCATTGCCTGTCCGCAGGAGTTGTGAAAATATCCTAATTGGAGATGGAGGGTCAAAATAATATGACTGTGAGTTCACTGAATGCTCTTCAGCAGAGAAGTATGCACTCTTATTTCCTTAATATGTCGGAAGCATGCAATTAATTACATTGGCCTATGAAATTGGTTAAACTATGATTCCCTTTAGGCAATAGAGTCCAATCAAGTTATGAGGAGCAACTTTTAATTATTCGAATATCAAATATATTTTTATAATTGCATTTAATCTTAAATTTAAATAGTGTTGCGATTACAATTATATTATAATCCTAATATTATTTACACCGTGCCTTTAGGCACGGGCATACGCTAGTAACAGTATAACTTAGTGGTCTGATTTAGGATTTGTAATATAGAAATTAATTAGGGTTTGTATATATAACAGTATAACTTATATGTAATTTAGAAATTGATTTAGGGTTTGTGTGTATATATGACTTAGAGATTGATTTAGGGATTCTATTTAATTTTCTTTTGAAGCAAAAAATAAAATAAAATAAAATAATAATAATAATATGTTGTTGTTGTTGTTGTTGTTGTTGTTGATATATACTGAAAAGGGTATGAGCATTCTGAAAACCTTCTTCTTGTTGTTGAGGTTGAGGTCCAGTCTAAGCATTATTAATAGTACAAATGAAAATCAGTTTCGGATCAAACTGTAGTTAGGTTATATAAGCTACTTCATTAAAGATGGAAACAAAATGTTACTTTTTTGAACTCCTGAGCCCACCTGATCCATAACATAGACGTGCTGAAAAAGAACTGTAATCCACCTGATCCATAACATATGCCATTGCAAGAGACCGAGAAATGTTTATAGCATTTAATCTCTGCTCAGCAGTGAACCTGTACATTTCCAATTGGTTATCCTTGAATGCTTGAACTTCCCATGATTTCATATCCATATATGGAGGCAAAGCATAAGATTCCTCAGGCAAAGGGCAGTGTTTTATATCATGCTCTTCTCTTTCAAATTCCATCTTTGGAAGTTCAGCAACCAAAAAACCACCACAAATGGATGTTTCACCATAGGAAAAACCACGGCTCTGCACTCGGGAATAAATTCTGCCTACAATTCAAATCAACATCGTCCCTAAATTTAAATTAATGAAGAGTGATCAGGAACAACAAAGAATGGAGGTTCAACTTATATAGGCACAGAGTCAGAAAAATATCATGCTTGTTGATTTGAAATGGCAGCTTCTGCCACTCTTAACCCTGTTGGAACACTAAAATTACTGATTAATATCACAATATCAGCTGCATTAACTCTTTCCGTAGACAATCTTTGGCCTCCCATGAGAATTGAACTTAGAGTCCATTTCATATATTTCCTTCTCTTAGTATTGTTCCAATTCCAAGCTGCTAGTTCTACTAATTTATTTATTGGAGCTCAGTAATTGGCATGGCATGGGGTTAATTTCAAAAGTGTTGTTCTCTCTGTAACTTTGCGGGATTACCATGAAGTGATTTGTTATAGACCTATAAAGGATGATCATTTCCATATATTATTCCCTACCTTGCCGTGGTTCCATTGGTGGTAATAGTTCCACATTAGACTCTTATATTGCTGCTATTGTGAGTTGAGAAAAGTTCACATCTATGTTTGAGATTTACAGGCGTGGTGTGAGCACTTTGAGGTTGATGAATGAGTTATAGCTATAAAAGGCAAATTTATTAGTTGACTATGGCTGCATTTTTTTATTTTGTTTTTACGAACCAGTAACTAAGTTTAGTGATAACATCTTTTATGGTACGAACTAGTAACTAAGTTTTGTCATAACATCTTTTATGGTATTGATTTTTTGATTTAAAAAAAAAAAGGAGTTTGACTATAACTTTTGTTTTTTCTCTATAAAGGAGTGTCTGTGCATGACTACATTGCCGGGGCAGCCTCCTTATGGTCAGCTGGTGCCATAGCACCATTATGTATTGTGAAGAAGTCACACTAATGTGATTGTTCCAATGTTAAAAGTCTGACGTATGAATTTGAGTATTTTGTTCGGACAAAAAAAAGCAGTCTTTTGCTAAAGTCTTTGAATTTTGAATACTTTGTTTGTTTGAAAACTCTAACTACTAACGTTTATGTTGCTGAAAGAAAGGTCACAATATTACTATATATGCTGGTTGGCACATGCTATTGTGTTGGTTATATGATACTTTTTGTAGTTTCTTCTTCCTTTTTATTTTTTTTCTAGCTCAATCTTTGATAATATGTAATGGGCATTCTGGTTGAGACCACACAGCCCCCCCCCTCACCACACACACACACACACACACACACCAAAAGAAAGATAAACATTTTGTTGCCTTCTTTTCTTCTATTAGTAAACCTTGATCTAATGTGTTCTGATTTTGTTATTTGCAGATGCTGGAAGGGCTTCTTAAATTGCCAGAGAACAGGGAGTGCGCTGACTGCAAATGCAAGTATGTTATCTGGAAATTGTCAATGTTGATGACATTGATTGAAATTGTGAAAAAATAATGACATGGATAGAGTCACAGAACCAGATTCGAAAGCAATGGATCTTTGTGCATTATACCATAAAGTAGCTACATGTTATTAGTTATTAATAATTTTTATTTATTTAAGTTGCTGGTAGTGACTCATTTTTCATGCAGAGGTCCTCGATGGGCTAGTGTGAATCTGGGCATCTTTATATGCATGCAATGTTCTGGAATCCACAGAAGTCTTGGAGTGCACATATCAAAGGTGATATTTTGTTCATTGGTTATTGTAAATCAACAATAGAAATTGAAATATACATGATGTATTTATTTATTTTATAAATGTTTCAAAACATATTTAAAGTGCATAAGTTGTATTTCGAATAATGCATAACATTGATACTACGAAGAGATTCTTCGCATGGTCTGTTTACATGTTTTCAGATCCAGACCTGACTTAGAAATTGGATTAGGAGAGAAATTAATTATTGTCTTCATGCAGCATGTTCGTACAATTAATGATGATGGCCGCTCTATAAGCAGAGACCTTGACGGGTTTCCAGTGACCTGCAGGTAATTGAGGCTTTTAGTGATCCTATCTTCAAATTAACTGACAAACTGATTCAAACTTCTCTGTGAATTACCTGTTGTACAGTGGCAGTTATGAGGACAATATGGTAGTACTGAAGCAGGAGTCTCAATTTGCAAAGGCAAATGATTGTAGTTTCAGTCGAGTAATATATCTTTAATTACCAAACTAAATCTAAATATTGTTATTGCCAATGTGATTCAAAAACTTAAAAGTGCTATATTTTTTACTTTGAATTTGTTTTATATGCAGTTTAGTCTGCAAATAGAACAACGAATTCCCGTTCTATCCAGGTGGCTGATCTTCAACCGATTCAAATTTACTGCATCACAGGGAGTTAAACTTGGGCCAGCATTTCTCTTGACAAGGTGAGCATAATAAGAAGAATCATGCAGGAAGTAAGGAAGCATAAAAAACACTCTTTAGAATTCTTTTGATTAAACTTTATAACCGAGGTATAGTAGCTACTAGCTACTAGCTAGGGACTTGGAAGTTAAGAAGTAAAAGAAAAGAAAGGATTATGCCATGAGAAACACAACTAAAGTGGAAGATATTGTTATTCTCAAAATAGGATTCAATATCAAACTAAACAATTTTCTTTTGCAATACATAAATTTGCTGTTAACCGCTGGGTATGCTTTTGAAGGGTGATTCCTGACCCTTTTTCGAACTTCACAAAGCCCGTTATGAAACATAGTGCTTTACTTGCATTTTCCCTCTCACTCTCCTCTCTCTTTTATCTCTTCAGCCTCCTACGTCGTCGCCTCTGGTACCGCCACCGGCGACCACCGCCGCCGCCGCCACACCTCCTCCCTCACCGCCCTCTCTCTCTTCTCCTATTCTCTTCGCCGGTCGTCTACATCGTCTTCTCGGTTTAAGTGGGTGAAGTAGGTGGAGAGTATGTGGATGTAGTGGGTTAGGTTTAGTGGGGTAGGTTTAAGTGGGTGAAGTAGGTGGAGAGTAGGTGGATTTTAACAGCCCCCGCAAACTCAAGGGGGATAGGAACTAACCAACTTGAGTTTGGAGAGACTAACAAAACAAGAAAATAGACGAATACATAAAAGAAAAGAGGATAGGAGACACTGTATGGTCGTGTCAGACCGTTGGTGAAGACACTGAAAGGTGGTGTCATAACGTGTAGAGGACACAGGATGGCGGTGTCAGACCGATGTAGAAGACAGTTTATGGGGTCTTGTCGGACCGTTGTAGAAGACAGTTTATGGGGTCATGTCGGGCCGTTGTAGAAGACAGTTTACGGGGTCATGTCGGACCGATGTAGCAGGACAGTTTACGGGGTCATGTCGGACCGTTGTAGAAGACAGTTTATGGAGTCTTGCTAGACCCTTGTAGAAACTAACCGGAATCTATGTCGGGACAGTTTACAGAGTCTTGTCGGACCCATGAAGGAGCTAACCGGAATCAATGTCGGGACAGTTTACAGAGTCTTGTCGGACCCTTTAAAAAGGTGCACCCTCAAAAGGTGTGCCCAATTTTGTCAAAAGGCGTGCCACCAAAAGGCGTGCCCAATTCATCAAAAGACGAGCCATCAAAAGGCGCGCCAGACACGCGGTGATGCACGTGATCGACAGTGCGCGTGTCGGCCTCTTCGTCATGTTCTATATAAATCAATATAAAAAGGCGTGCCATCAAAAGGCGAGCCCAAGTCATAAAAAGATGTGCCGGACATGATGGCGAGGCACGTGAGTGCCTTGGCTGGCGCGCCCGTTTGTCGTCTGGCGTCAAGTGGCGCGCGATACGCGTGGCTGCCTCGCTATTTAACCAAGGTTGATGCTGAGACTGAGGCAGACAAAAAACTTCTGAAAATCCTCTGAAAAAACTCTTCCTTTGCTGAGAGAGAAACTCTGTAATACTCTGTAACCAACCCGTCTCTGAAACACTCAGCAACATGGCCTCTTCTTCCCGTCCAGCTACCCAGAACATGGCCTCCTCGTCCCGTGGTCTGCTCACGCTCTTTCCAGAACTAAACGAGTCCACAAGAGAAATAACTGGTGCGATGGCCAGTGAACCTCAACCAAACACCTCTGGTTTTGCTCCGTTGAACTTTCCGATGCGGTCGGTGGAGCAAAAAATGGCGGTGCAAACTGATATTGAGGCCAATCAGTATACTCTAAAGTCATGTGTGGAAACCATGACTGCGGTCACAAACTTGTCGCACCGGCTGCAGAGCAGAACAAATGAGGTGCAACAGTTAAACTCTCAGCTGGCTCTGCTCCAACGCATGTATAAGGATGCGCGAGCAAAGATAAGTGTGCTAAAGACAGAAAACAAGGAGCTGAAGCGGAAGGCCAGTTTTATGTTCCGATTTGGAGGGCCGCCATATGCTGCAGTGGAGGAGCAGGGAGTAGTGATCATGCCCAGTGGAGTGGGAAACACGGAGGCAACACCGGCAAGGGCCGCCCAAGACGGAGGCAAGAAGAAAAGACTGTCGGTGTGTGGCCATCTGCAGAAAAGAAAACAAAGCCGTTGTTGTCGTGGGTGTTGGATTTGCGGTTTTTTTTTTTTTTTGCTGTAAAATTCTGATCGGGGTTGATCCCCGGCATGAAGAAACAACAAGTTTTTTTTTTTTTTTTTTTTTTTTTTTTTTTTTTTGAAAAGTAAGGGAATCGAATAATAAAAAAAATATGGAGATGGTGATGAAATGATAAGCATGGTAATGATGAATATAGAATATTAAATAAAAATTGAGCACCAATGAAGTTGTATAATAAACAATAAAATTTGGACGGTGGATGGGTGTGATTAAAAAAGAAAAGGGAGTGAGAGTCGAGGGTGGTGTTGTGTGGGTGGAGAATAAAGAAATGAAAAGAAAGGGGTTCATGTGTGGAGAGAGAGAGAGAAAGTGGGTGATAGGGTGTGTAAAGCGTGAATGGAATGATGAAAGTTGACGATGATGCATGCCATGCCATTTTGTTTTTTTTTTTTTTTGTTTTTGTTTTTGTTTTTTTTTTTTCACTCCATACACCAAAATCCCAAACGAAAAAGCATATTCCTCTCTCTCTCTGCCCGCGAGGTCGAGGTAGCAGTTCTGCAATTCCAATGGCGGCCATGAACCGCCTTTTGAAACCCTCACAATTCTCCTCCTCCTCCGCGATCGCATCCCTCAGGCGGTGCCTATCATCAGCTGCGGCGTCGGAGACCGAGTCTCGCTTGAAATCTCGGAGTTGTCTGCCTCCGAGCGCAGATCCCAAGGGTAGGAACGTCCAGTGGGTGTTCCTGGGCTGCCCTGGCGTCGGAAAGGGCACTTACGCCAGCCGCCTCTCTTCCCTCCTCAGCGTCCCTCACATCGCCACCGGTGATCTCGTCCGCCAAGTGCTCTCTTCCCATGGCCCTCTCTCTCATCAGCTTGCAGAGATTGGAAACCAAGGGAAACTGGTTTCGGATGAGATTATAATAAGGTTACTGTCTAAGAGACTTGAGGCTGGAGAAGCTAAAGGTGAATCAGGATTCATTCTTGATGGTTTTCCTCGAACAATAAGACAAGCGGAAATATTGGATGAGGTGACATATATTGACTTGGTGGTCAATCTAAAGCTCCCAGAAAATGTACTGCTTGAGAAATGCCTTGGGCGAAGGATTTGCAGTGAGTGTGGAAAAAAATTTCAATGTGGCCTCCATTAATGTCAAGGGTGTGATTGTGTTGGCTGCGACGAATCGGCCAGATGTTCTTGATTCAGCATTGTTGAGGCCTGGGAGGTTTGATAGGCAAGTTACAGTGGACAGGCCAGATGTTGCTGGGAGAGTCAAAATCCTCCAGGTGCACTAGGAGCTCTTCCACTGCACACTCATCACTACTATATGAAAGAAACGAGAAATCTGCCATTGCGCACACAGAGAGAGAGAGAGAAGGCATGTGTAGAGGTCCGGCGGGCGGCCAAGGCGAGGCTGCCGCCCGCCAGGGGTTTAGTGGAGTAGGTTTAAGTGGGTGAAGTAGGTGGAGAGTATGTGCCCTTTTTAAAGGTTGGTTAGTGGAGTAGGTTTAAGTGGGTGAAGTAGGTGATAGGTTTTAACAGCCCCCGCAAACTCAAGGAGGATAGGAACTAGCCAACTTGAGTTTGGAGAGAGTAACAAAACAAGAAAATAGACGAATACATAAAAGATGTAAGAAAAATTGATGTATATTATTGATTGATATAATGTTATATTTATTACAATGATTCATGATTCCTATATATAGAAGAGGGTGAGTGTGTAGTAGGTAAGGAGTAGGTGAAGTGGAGGTGGTAGTGGTGTAGTGGGTTAGGTTTAGTGGAGTAGGTGAGGCGGTAGTGGTGTCGTGGGTTAGGTTTAGTGGAGTAGGTTTAAGTGGGTGAAGTAGGTGATAGGTTTTAACAAATGGTTTTGTTATAGATAATATAATTGAGCAACAAAATTTCACTTCCTTTACATCAAAACAGCCTAAATATTTCAGTTTCTTAAGAAATTGAAATGAAACATTAGTCAAATATCAAAATTGTAATGATTCCACTGAAACATAGTGTTTCGGCGAACATACTGAAACAATGAATTGTTTCGGCACCTATTAGGAATACCCAACAATGGCTATTTCTATTTGTCTCTTTTTGTCAAAACAAAATATATGAGAAGAACGCCAAATCTTAAACTTATTATAGGATTTGAGAAACTAAAAAGGAGAATAGGAGAGATAGAAAGGAGAGGATGAAACGAGCATGATTGAGTCACTTATTCTATTTCTTTGTTACTGCGAAACACTTCTTTTATGTTTTTTCTTTTTTCAATCTATAAGACTATTGAAAATTTTCATTTTTCTAATGTTTTTCTTACAATGGCAAACCCCTTCCCTAGTTAGGAATTTATACCTTTGGTTTATATGTTTCTAATATTCATAAATCTAGAACATTATTTAATTATTGAGAATGTATTAACATATATATAGGTTTTAGTTTTTCACCAAACATTTTCTTACATAGCCAAATTCTCTTGTCATTTCTCTTATGATTCTGAAACGCTGTTTCTAAGCTAACCGAAACAAAGTCTTGATACTTGAATATAATGAAGAAAACTTATGGGAAGTAGAAATTGAAATCGATCTCATGGAGAGAACCTGTAGAGAGGAACTTGAGTGGTTGTTGGCCCCTTTATGAATTTTTGAAAGGTTGGAGAAGTGAACATATTTTTGAGCTTCTCATCTCCTTTGAAGCCAGTGGCAAGAATCACAAGGTCTGTTTTTAGAGGCTTGACTTCCCCATCAATAATTAAACCTTCTGAGCAGAAGCTCATGCTTTGAGATTTCTTCAATACGATGCTTCCTTCTTCCACCTTCTGTAGAAGTTATCGGGCAATAATGGGACTTGACACGAAGAAAACTGCTCGAGAAAGCTATGTTTTGGTACCGTTTTGTACTTTTTCAACGGAAGTTCCCAGGTAAGATAGCTCTCAACGAGTTTTGATGTTGCCCATCTCTGAAAAAATGAAATATAAACAAACAAAATAAGCAAAAAATAGAAGAAAAACATTATTTAACTTATTTTCAAATGGCTATGCATGTTTTTAATAGAAGAGGGAGGTTACCAAAGGCGAAAGAAGGGTGACCAAGAAACTGTGCAGCAATGTTTCGCTAGGCGTATGAACCGTCAATTCTGAGAAGCGGCTTAAGAAGAAGAAATCAATATTGAATTTTGAGGAATAACTGCTTGGGACCATCCAGTAAACAGTCCTTTGAATCATATATAGGTTTGGTTGTTTTTATTATTATTTTTATTTATTTATTTATTTATTTTTTTTTTTAGGGAGAGGGAAGAGGAAAAGAGTAGCACTAGTGTTTCACCAAAATTAAACCCACTATTTCCCTGGTTTTGGCTAATGGTTAGAATGGTCAGCCGATATCAAAGTGATCTTGGAGCTGCACATTGGGCTGTAGTTAAGACGATATTTCGATATTTGCAAGGGACTGTAGACTTCGCATCTCAGATTAATCGAATTTAGTGATGTAATGGGTCTGCTAATAGAGATAGGCGTAAATCAATTACTTGTTACGCTTTTGTACTTAGAGGATGAGCCATTTCATGGTGCAGCAAGAAACAACAGTGTGTTTCCTTGTCCACAATGGAGTCAGAATATCTAGTTTGCACTGCTGCTATTTAAGAAGCAATATGGTTGAGGAGATTCTTACAGAGTTTGAGTGTAACAGGGCATTTGGATGAGTCTATTGTAGTCTATTGTGATAGCACAACTACTATAGCTTATGCGAGAGATCCCAAATACCATGAGAGAACTAAGCATATTGATACCTGTTATCATTTTATTCAATACATCATTGCGTAGGGTTTGGTGGTCCTAATGCATGTCTCTACTAGTGGCATGGTTGCTGATCCATTGACCAAAACCATTGCAGGAGATGTTTTTCACAGACATGTCAAGGGTTTGGGCTTACGTAGGATTGGATATGCTTGTATTAGATGGACCTTTTTTATCTCATGCATTAATGAAATTAGTTTTCTTTTGATTTTGCATAATCATGAATTGTTTGAGCACATATCTTGAATTGCATATATATGTCACCAGGCTAAGATCAACCCTCTTATACTGACAATCACCCTGGCGCTTGGAAAGCGAGTGAGGTAAATGTTCTGTTACTTAGGAGTGAACAAAACTGGTTTATTAGTAAATGTCACCTTAGCATTGGCTAAGATGAGACTTGCATGAGTGGAACATGAAGTTTTTTCCACAACTTCATGGAGCTTAAATATCGCCAAATGTAAGGTTTTAGATAGGCGCTTGATGAGTGACTAGGCTAAGAAACTCATGTTAGACACTTGAATAGCGGCTAGACTAAGATTTGTATGACGTTAAAGAGTTACAGCCTAATTTAGTAGAAGCTCCGCCATAACGTACATATTATATTGTATGTGCTATAGTCGACCATAGAAAAGAGTAGCTAGATGGATCCCTGCTCTATTACGGTGTGAGCTTAAGCCATGAATTGGTTTATTCTATGCCCTTGAACCTAGAACTATGTCATGAAGTGATGACTCGATGTTGCTACTTTAGCATGTCACTCTAGGATCATCATGAGTACGATCCAGAGGACTATGTCTAGGAAACCAATCAAATTTGAGTGAATAGACATGAATGACTATAGAAAATTCTTAGATTTCATACTGTTGTATTGTAGCTCATAGCATGGACAATTATGTTAGATTTGTGTTCTCGATGTAGTCATGAGTACAAATACAGTGTTTAAGGTCAAGCATGTTTATGAATTGACTCATGAGTGATTTTAAATGCTTGATCTAGTATGATCTAACGACTTTAGAGGCGAGTGTTGACACTAAAAATTGTATATTCTCTGTCGATTGTATGTAACAAATGCAGAGAATTGGTCCAGCGGATGCTAGGTTTAAAGATTATGAGTTTTCACAAGTTTACAAGTGAAAATCGAGTGAATATGAATCCTAGAATACAGAGCAAGTGACAGAAAGGAAATAGTCAAAGAGACAGACGTGGCAGTTGCAGTTTTCCTGTCCAAATGGACCAGTTGTTGGCAAAAGATGGCCCCACTGCCCTTAGAGATGTCCAAGTGAAGGCCAAAAGAAGGGCAATCCTCTCAGCTTGGGCTAGCTTTGTAATTGTTCTTCAAAGGGACTGAGATTTTTGTATTTATTTTTTCTCTTTTTTATAATAGACATTAGAACTTTTTTTTGTGTTTAAATTTTATAACGAAAAGAAAATTTTTTTATGCATGTCTTCTTACTTTATGCTTGTCTAACATTTTCCTACATGGTTGGTTAATATTTATTTAAATATTTACTATTTATAACTTTCCTATGTGGGACCCCTTCCAAGGATGCAAGGTGATAGGCTCCTCCTCTAAGGACCTTAAAAACCTTAAATGGTCTTTCCCAATTTGGGGACCACTTTCCAAATTTTGGATCCTTACTGCCTATAGGTAAGATAGTCTTCCACACCAAATCCCCCTCTGAAAGTATCTTAACTTTTATCCTCATATTGTAGACTCTCTCCACTCTTCTTTTTTGGGCAACAAGATAGCTATAAGCCATAACTCTTTTTCCTCTAAATCTTGTAACTCAACCATCATGGCCTCAGTATATTCATCAATTGGAATATCATAGTGTAAGGCCACTCAACTAGATTGGACAATCACCTCTCAAGGCAACATTGCATCATGGCCATATACCAATTCATAAGGTGTAGTACCAGTACTGTTTTTCTTGGAATTTCAATAGGCCCACAATACATTAGACAATAAATTGTTCCAATATCTAGGGTTCTCCTCAATCACCCTTTCCAAATTATTCTTTATTATTCTATTACTCAGCTTGCCCATTAGGCTGAGCATAATAAGGTGATGAATTGAGGATTGAAATGTCATATTCCTTGGCAGATTCACTAATCTCTTCCCCATTAAACATAGTTTCCTGATCAACAGTAATCGATTGGAGTAGACCAAATGTATGGATTATATGCTTTTTCACCAAGTCAATTACATGCCCTTAGGTTGCTACCATCAATGGCACTGCTTTCACCTACTTGGTGAAGTAATTAGCTACCACCAAAAGGTAAGAATGCTGTTTTGAAGAAGGAGAGAAAATTTGCCCAATCAAGTCCATTGCCCATCCTTTGAAAGGCTATGGCTTTATCACTGAATGCAAACCAATTGCAAGGACTCTTTGAAGGCTATCATGCTTTTGGCATGCCTGACATCTCTTAGCATAGGCCATACAACCCTTCCTTACTGTAGGCCAAAATAAACCGTACCTGTTAATCATTCACCTCATTTTTTCTCTAGCTTGATAGGCACCACATATGCTTTCATACACTTCATCAATTACTTTCATCTGTTCATTCTGGCCAATGTATAATAAGGTCATACCATCATGGGCTCTATTGAATAAGTCATATCCCATGATGACATAATTCAAGGTTTGATACTTAATCTGCCTACTAACCTTCTCATTGGCATTTATAAAATATTTGATCAAAGGATGTCTCCAATCCTCTTTTGCCACTTCCAAATTCATTACTGTCACGAAATTTCTCTTTTGGATCCTAATTATTCTTTATTGGAATCCTTTAGGAATCTTTAAACAAGAAGCCACTTGAGCCATTTCATTAGCCTCATTATTCTCCAATCGAAACATGTGCTAAAATGTCACATGGCTGAAGAAACTCACCAACCATTTAACCTCAACTAAATACTCTTCTAAGGCCTTGTTAGTGCACTTGTATTCACCTTTAACTTGCTTGATAACCAAATGTGAATCACCAAAAACTTGCAAACTAGTGATTATGAATTCTATAGCCAATTCTAAACCTATAATCAAGGCCTCATACCTAGCTTGATTATTTGATAAGACATGTCGTTCATCTAACTAGTAAGAAAATTGATGTACTTGCTCATTAGGGGCAACAAACACAACACCAGCTCCAACCCCTTCCTCAGTTCTAGAGTCATCAAACATTAGTCTACAAGGGGTGTTTTCTATACAATTAATTTCAAATAAGTCCTCATTAATAGATGAACAAGGGTGTTTAGCTAAGAAATCAACCAAAGTTTGGCCTTTTACGACTTTTTGAGGGACATACTTGAAACAATACTCTATTAGAGCCAACAACCATTTGTCTTGTCTTCCCCTCGTTATGGGTTTAGACAACATGTACTTGATCACATTAGTTTGTGCGACCACAAATACTTCTGAGGGGAACATATAATGCCTTAACTTAATGGCAGCAAAGTATAATGGCAAGCATAATTTCTCCATTGACTTGCTAATTCAAATGATAGAGCAAGCAACAACGAGGTGGAAAAAAGGCATGTTTCCAATCATATGCAAAGAAAAATACTGCAAATGGCTACCAGTTATGCTCTTGTCTCTTAGAAACATCAACAAATTATAGAGAAGGAAACAAGGAAAGTAAAAAAGAAAAAATGTTAGTGGTAAATTGTACTTACAATTTTTTTTTTTTTCTTTTCAAACTTGTTCCAGTTTTTCTTTTTAAATTTTTAGGATGTAGACCTAGAAAGCAAACTATTTTTACTCAAAATTGGAAAAAAATTAAAATAAAATAACGTATTCAGGGTTGGTTTGAGTAAAGTGTAGAAAATTCATATTTGAGAAAACAAAAAGAGAACAATAGCATAGCTGCGAAGCAAAGAACAAGAGAGAAGGGCATTGAAATTGATTTCTGTCCGACTGTCTCTGTATCAATAGAATTTGGGTAAAGTAGATAGAGAGATAGAGAGAGATACCTAAAGAGAACATCGTTTTCTTTTCAAACTTGTTCCAGTTTTTCTTTTTAAATTTTTAGGATGTAGACCTAGAAAGCAAACTATTTTTACTCAAAATTGGAAAAAATTTAAAATAAAATAACGTATTCAGGGTTGGTTTGAGTAAAGTGTAGAAAATTCATATTTGAGAAAACAAAAAGAGAACAAGAGCATAGCTGCGAAGCAAAGAACAAGAGAGAAGGGCATTGAAATTGATTTCTGTCCGACTGTCTCTGTATCAATAGAATTTGGGTAAAGTAGATAGAGAGATAGAGAGAGATACCCAGCGAGAACATCGAAGTTGTTAGCAACGACCTTGAGGAAGCTTCCAGCTCCAGATCCCATCTCCACCACTCCACGATCTCACTCTTTCTGAATCAGAAGAAGAAGATAGAAACTGTTAAGAGTGAGTGAGGGTTTCGATCGTCGGTTTGTGAAAGTGGTTCTTTTCTGATTAATTATGAGAAAAGAAAATGATCTTCCAGGAATTTTAGCATTTGGATTGGCGAAATGTTAGTGGTAAATTGCTATAAGATTTTAGGGGTTTGTAATGGCAGTAAGACAGCCTTGGATTAACCAATCCAAGTCCAAATCCAACCAAGTATCTTAAGGTAAAAGAGGACCTGTTTTTAATATAGAGGAAGGGAGAGAGAGAGAGACCGAGATCGATAGAGACGGAGAGACCGAGATAGAGGGATCGACAGAGAGATCGGCAGAGAGAGAGAGACCGAGGTCGACGGAGATCGACAGAGAGAGACCGAGATCGACGGAGATCGACAGAGAAGAGAAAAATCGACAGAGATAGACCGAGATCGACGGAGATCGACAGAGAAGAGACACAGATCGACAGAGAGAGACCAAGATCGAGAGAGAGAGAGAAAAAAACCTGCAACAGCGGCAGTGGTGATTTGCGGCGGCGGCGATGTGCGACGGTGGCGTGCGACGGTGCCCAGCGATGGTTGGGTGGTGAGCGGGAGTGAGGTTTGGTGGTAACTGTTCTGTGACAGAGAAACCGTTTACTCCTTCTGCGTTTATGAACCTTGAAATGAAGACTTACTCCTTTTTATGGTTATGTTGGTGGTAATTGTTCAGTGGTTGTCCCAAAATGTTTACTCCTTTTGTGTTTATGAACCTTGAAATGAAGACTTACTTCTTTTATGGTTATGTTGGTGGTAACTGTTCAGCAGTTGTCCCAAAATGTTTACTCCTTTTGTGTTTATGAACCTTGAAATGAATGACTACTCCTTTTATGGTGGTAACTGTTCAGTGGTTGTCCCAAAATGTTTACTCCTTGCTAAAATGTCACATGGCTGAAGAAACTCACCAACCATTTAACCTCAACTAAATACTCTTCTAAGGCCTTGTTAGTGCACTTGTATTCACCTTTAACTTGCTTGATAACCAAATGTGAATCACCAAAAACTTGCAAACTAGTGATTATGAATTCTATAGCCAATTCTAAACCTATAATCAAGGCCTCATACCTAGCTTGATTATTTGATAAGACATGTCGTTCATCTAACTAGTAAGAAAATTGATGTACTTGCTCATTAGGGGCAAGAGATAGACCGAGATCGACGGAGATCGACAGAGAAGTGACACAGATCGACAGAGAGAGACCAAGATCGAGAGAGAGAGAAAAAAACCTGCAACAGCGGCAGTGGTGATTTGCGGCGGTGGCGTGCGACGGTGGCCAGCGATGGTTGGGTGGTGAGCGGGAGTGAGGTTTGGTGGTAACTGTTCTGTGTGTGTGGGTGAGAGACAGAACAGAGCTGTTGTTGGTGATAACTGTTAAGTGGTTGTCCCAAAATGTTTACTCCTTCTGTGTTTATGAACCTTGAAATGAAGGCTTACTCCTTTTTATGGTTATGTTGTTCAGTGGTTGTTCCAAAATATTTACTCCTTTTGTGTCTATGAACCTTGAAATGAAGACTTACTCCTTTTATGGTTATGTTGGTGGTAACTGTGTAACTGTTCAGTGGTTGTCCCAAAATGTTTACTCCTTTTGTGTTTATGAACTTTGAAATGAAGACTTACTCCTTTTATGGTTATGTTGGTGGTAACTGTTCAGTGGTTGTCCCAAAATGTTTACTCCTTTTGTGTTTATGAATCTTGAAATGAAGACTTACTCATTTTATGGTTAGTGAAACTTATACGTTTTGTAAAAATAAAACTTACACATTTTGTGAAGTTATTTACATATTTTTTTAAATAACTTACACTATTTTTGAAAAGTTACTCATTTTGTGTAAGAATTTTTGACATAACATTTATACTTTTTCTTCGAACTTAAAAATAAAAATTACACATTTTGTGAAGTTATTTACATCTTTTTTGAAATAACTTACATTATTTTTGAAAAGTTACTCATTTTGTGTAAGAATTTTTGACATAACATTTATACTTTTTCTTCGAACTTACACCTTTTATGGAAGCCCAACTTAAAACTTTTTCGGAAGTCACTTATACCTTTTGTGAAAAAATAAATTTATCAAATTTACACCTTTTGCTTAAGCTTATACCTTTTCGTAGAAGTGCTTATATTTTTTTTGAAAAGTTACTCCTTTTGTGTAAGAATTTTTGGCATAACATTTATACTTTTTCTTTGAACTTACACATTTTGTGGAAGCCCAACTTAAAACTTTTTCGGAAGTCACTTATGCCTTTTGTGAAAAAATAAATTTATCAAATTTACACCTTTTACTTAAGCTTATACATTTTCGTGAAAGTACTTATATTTTTTTTGAAAAGTTACTCCTTTTGTGTAAGAATTTTTGGCATAACATTTATACTTTTTCTTCGAACTTACACCTTTTGTGGAAGCCCAACTTAAAGTTTTTTCGGGAGTCACTTATACCTTTTGTGAAAAAATAAATTCATCAAATTTATACCTTTTGCTTAAGCTTATACCTTTTCGTGGAAGTGCTTATATTTTTTTTGAAAAGTTACTCCTTTTGTGTAAGAATTTTTTGCATAACATTTATACTTTTTCTTCGAACTTACACTTTTTGTGGAAGCCCAACTTCCGAAAAAACTTTAAGTTGAGCTTCCACAAAAGGTGTAACTTCGAAGAAAAAGTATAAATGTTATGCCAAAAATTCTTGCACAAAAGGAGTAACTTTTCAAAAAAAATATAAGCACTCCCACGAAAAGGTATAAGCTTAAGCAAAAGGTATAAATTTGATGAATTTATTTTTTCACAAAAGGTATAAGTGACTTCCGAAAAAGTTTTAAGTTGGGCTTCCATAAAAGGTGTAAGTTCGAAGAAAAAGTATAAATGTTATGCCAAAAATTCTTACACAAAAGGAGTAACTTTTCAAAAATGGTGTAAGTATTTTCACGAAAAGGTGTAAGTTTAAGCAAAATGTGTAAGTTTTCGTTTGTTTACACCTTTGGTAAGTCAACTCACAAAAGGAGTAAGTGTTCATAAAAGGTGTAAATAATTTCACAGAAGGCGTAAGTTTTCATAAAAAGGTGTAAGTTTTCAGAAAAGGTATAAGTTTTTACAAAAGGCGTAAATTTTCACAAAAAATGTAAGTTTTCAGAAATCAGTTACGCCTTTTTCTGAAATTACTTATGTCTTTCGTGAAAATATATGCCTTTTGTGAAAATTTATACCTTTTTTGTGACCATCTACACCTTTAGTTATATAATATATTATTTTATTAATTTACCTGGAAAGTGACCTACTTAGCAGGTCACCAATGTATAAGTTTTCAAATATTTTTATATAACCCAATACATATAAATGTGTAAATATAAAATAAAAAGGTGTAAGTGCCTTGCATACCATATGCAAGGCACACATGAGAGAAGTCCTTTATATATATACAATTGTTATATATGTTGTGCAAGTGGTTCACGTGGGCGTCCAGTTCTTGGAATTTGTTGCGTGTTGTCTTTCTTGTGTCCACAGGTCTGCTTTTGTTGAAGAAGCGGCTGATTATATTGGTGGTAGCATAAGCGGGTATTTGGAAAGTGAGTTATTTTAGTTGTAGAATATTATTGAAGAAATTTTTTTTTGAATTTGAGAAGATAGTTGGGTTTTTTGTGATTGAATGTAATGTTTATGAGAGAAAAAGTGAAATGATTATGAGATTTGATATCATATTTTGTTTGGATTTATTTATTTTTTTTTTATTTTGTAACAAATTTGCCTTTTAGTGAAAAAAAAAATTTCAAAAAAATTCTTCCCAAACATCCCCTATATATTGTGGAGAGTGGGTTATGGGGCTTATTTGATGTTATTTAGGGATTGTTTATTAAGTGTTAGATTAATATATTTTTTGATTTTTTACGAAAGAAAGTGAAATATGAGTTGGATTTAAAGTGATGTGCTAGAGGTGAGGTGACTTAAATAAAATGATTGTGACCCAAATACGATAATGTGCTAAAATAAAATATGTTATTTTAACACATGCCAAACAAACACTTGGTGCACCTTCTTTCGACATATTAGACTTTGAGATTGGGTTTGATTAAGTGGGCTTGCCGTTGGGCTCGTTTTGGACTTTTGAATTATTTGGGCTCATTGATTTTTTTTGGATAGATTGCATATATTTACATGATTGATGAGCTCATAAATTTCAGTTTAGCCACAATGCGGCGGACCATTTATAATTGATTTTCTCATGATGATTGATCGTGTGATCCTCATGTGACTCGATATGAGGTTAGTTTTGAACCATCTCTGCCAAGAGTAATTGAGGAGTCACTGCTATGGGGAATAGTGATTCGATGACTAGCCGAGTTAGAGACTGGGAGATAAGCAGGAGGTTAGCTATCGATTTTCTTGTTACCCATCCTAATTAATCGTATTGCAACACTTGACACGGAGTGAATGGCATGTTGCCGTGGGGATTGAAGCTTGTGATCTATCAAGGAAAGGATTGGGGGATGTGGTGATTGCTCTCATGTTATTTTCTGGCTATGTATTAGTTTGCTGTTGTGGTGGCTATCGATTTTTGCTACAACTCCCAAGACTGTTGATTATGGTTATTGATTGTGCTAGTTTCATGTAACTCTGTCGGGATTTCTCGTGGGATAGATTTTTTCCTCCGTCACGGCTTTGGTAAGTGGCTAGGATGTCACGGCTGTGAGAAGTGAGATGCTTATTGGATTCTATGTGTTTATCTGCGGTAGAGACTGGGGGCAAGTGGGGGTGGTTATCATTTTTTGATTGGTCTTGTGAGTTGTTGCTTGTTTTATCTTGGTTAGGTTTTGTTGTTAATAGTGTATATTTGCCCATATATCGTCCCCAAGTTTTTACTTGGACAAAATGGATATATGGGTAAATTAGGTTATACGATGTTAGTGTTGCTTATATATTGCCCCTAGTCACTTTGCCTTCTTTACTGTTGGCATATAAGTAACCAAGGGCAAAATATATCAGCAACACTTTTGTATTGTTAAGTTGCTCCCCCTTAATAAGGGGGTTTAGTCTTTCTTTTGTATTTCTTGTTGTATTACTTGGGGAATGCCCCTTGTAAACATATAAATTTTTGTCCTTAATTTATGACTTACCCACAAAGAAATAAAAATTACCTGTTTGTACTCGTTTTTTTTCCCAAATTTGTTTGATTTTCTCTCTCTCTCTCTCTCTCTCTCTCTCTCTCTACTACAGCAAATCCTTGACGTTGTGCTTGACCGGTTATCCAACTTTCTCTCTTGGATTAGCCCCTTTCTACATGCTTTTCATCGTACATGGTAAGTGTTTCTATATTTAGGTGTTTAATTTGTTTTTTGTTTTTTTTCTTCTTCTCTCTCGTTTGTTTCCTACATTTTATCAACTCTTATGAACTTAAGCGACACAATTTCAGTAGAAAATTATGTTTCTTACATTGTTCATACGTATTTCATACAATTCATGTAAGGAGTTAGGCAAAATTTCATGTGATTCAGAAAACACCAAAAAATTCCATCGTTGGTAGATCATCTATATAATTCTTACAGAAAAGAATGAACCA